CCCCCCTCCATTATCAAAAAATATTTAAATCAAATATTGAATGGGTGGGAAGAGAGTGGAAGTATATTGGTACTATTTATGATGTGGGATCATCCATTATTTTGAATTTCTCACGAGAAATTTATTTCCCTGTTATGCATCATGGTTTCCTATGCTTCTCTGTGTTCTCTTGGCATCCTGCATGCTTAAATCAGAGTATCTAAAACGGAAAGCTGTTATATATTTTTTAAATTTCCTAACCTTTTTATTGTTGATTAAATGGAACTGGTTCCCACATGCATCATCCGCACTGCTTTCTGAATCAAAGGTTACAAACCCAAACCCTGAAAATAAATAATCAAAACCATTTTACTAAGCATACAAGAGAAAGCTAAAAAAGTTTTTCAAATGCTCAGAGCATTAGATTTAACTATGTATAGACAGCAGATCTCGTATATGTGTCTGTATTCAAAAATTTATGTCATGCATATGCCATACCCAATCAATATTTTTTATCATAGCAAAAATTCAATAAAGGGGGAAAAACAAACAAGCGAAAAGGGCATTATAGTTTCAGAAATTAATTTCCGTAGTTTCTCATTAGTACRATTTGACTTAGTTTGACTGGTCTCCCACGCAATTAGTCTATGAGACACCTGATGGATGGATTTTTGTTAATTTATTCACTTTGCTTTTCTTCTGCACCTTTGTGATTCCTTACCAATGCAACTTATTTTCAATTTTATACTTTGAAACAAATGAATGGCTTGATTTTGAGTGGGGGGAATTACACACAACAGCGTTTGATGTTGGCCCAAACAAAATTAATATTAATGATATATAGTAAATTGATGGATATAATATAAAAGGATATATGAATAAGGTAAAAATATATCAAAGCAAATAAAAGTGCAATAATTTATTACAAGGTTGGTGATGACTTATAGACTGATGGATGCTTTGAATGTTTTACTCAAAATTAAAGCTAACTGTAAAATGAACCGTATAATAACCTAATTGCCCTTGAAGAAAACCATCATGATTTCTGAAGCATCTTTCTTATTTCCTTTATTTTAAGATTAACTCTAAGCATGTTTTTTTTAGAATATACTCAAGGACAGGAATTTTGTCCTTCAGTACCTTGGAACTTTTTCTCTAAAGTCCAAAGAAAGTGCAATTCATTTTTAACATCTTTTGTATCATTCTTGACAACCACAGTTAACCAGTACTTTATTTATTTTTAAACATTAGAGCAGTTTTCGTATGACTGTGAAAAACTTGGTGCTGAATGTGTACCTTGCCGTGAAGTAATGTTTTCTGGAATTTTAATTGGTTGATTTTTTTTCTTCGGCAATGTCATTGGTGTGGCAGTGACATGGCTTTGGCATGGCTTTCACACGGCTTTGCTATTTCATAAGTGCTACGCAGTCCACATATTCTTGTGTTCCGGACATTTTATTGCATGGAGTAAATTCTTGACCAATGTGATTGGTCTGGCATATGCCTTGTGCTTTTGCCACTGCATTCCTGCCACAAGCTTTTTACAGCCATATGATCTTTACATCACTATGGATATTCGTACTGTTGGTGCCAATGACTATTAAAAGCCTCTTTATTCCAGGCATATATACCATGCCATTAGGCACATGTTGTAAATGATAAGACACCTTTTGGTAAAGAGAATCATGTGTGCCACACCCCATTGTCAATRCAGGTACATATGCAGGAAGATATACAACACCTATGCCTACATATATATATACATACATAACAAAAATACTACTACCCATAAATACAAATAATATATTTGATAAYATATATTTTGATATTTTTGTAATAGCGCACATGGTATTTAACCCTAGCCAATAGTTACTTCTTCAATACTGCAGGTGGTACATAACGATTAGTCCTAGACACCCCTTTGACAATGAAGAGAATTGTCTTGATTTTATTTAAATTAGGTATAATGCTCAACAGTACTCACCTCTGTGCCGCTGAGTTGCTTTGTCAAACATCAACATCACTTCTGTTATCTGAAATCAATGGAAGTCAAAGTTACCCACTAGTATTGTCTAATAGTAAGATTAACAAAGTAAACTCTCCATGTGCCCCATGTCTGGGCTAGCATAATAGGAAATTTGATGACAGTTAAGCCTCATATCAAGACAGATATAATTAAGTTGCAATGGTGCTGTCTGGAAATTGGCCAAGAAATTCCAACCTTTGCATAAAGGGATGGCTATCTGTAACTTTCATTTAAAAAATCTTGAATCCAAATGTCATCTTGCCTAAAGGTGAACCTTTCAGCAAGTGCTAGTCAACAATACTATTGCCAATGATTACTTACAGAAATATACAGGAAAGTCATTAACATAAAATATCCTCTGGTTTTTCAGACTGATTGTATAACTTTACATATTATTGCAATTTATAGTTATTACGATTGATTATTGATGGAAATAAATAAAAATAGAAATAATAATAAATAACAAAAGATGGAAATAAAAATAGGAATGATAATAATAAATAATAGAATAATAATATTATCGTTATTTTATTGATTAAGAACAAACCAATGTTACACATATGATAGAAATAAAATATATATAAGTAAATAAATATGCGCAAGTAAGAAAATTACAATGTCGATAAAAACAAGTTAATCTTATATTGATATAAAAAAATTAAGAATATAATAAAGATAATAAACATGAAAGTATTGTAAAAGCATTATTTGGTAATGCTAAACAAACTACAAACAAATAAATGGTTGAATAGATGGACAGAGGCATGGATGGTTGGATGGATAAATAGATGGATGGATAAACGGTTGAATGGAATGGAGCATATAAATGAATGGAAGGGATTAGATGGGATGCAATGAAAAAGGGATTACAAACTATCATAAATATATATACATGAACACATAAATGAATTTGGAAATAAATTTGACACTTCCAAAGAAAATACTAACTAGAATTTCTACTATTAGGATTGTCAATCTGTCATGTGCTTGGGTTGTGACATAAGACACCAGAAAACAATGCCAAATAAACAGGAGATTATCAGTAAAAGGGTTGGGATTATAACATGGCACCCATTATAAATGGTCAAAGGTCATGACAAATTTCCTTGAGTTCTAAATTAAATAAAACTATCTTGTTATTTGAAATACCAACTAACCATAGGTCTTGCCATGGCAACTGTTTGTCAAAGCTACATTAAATTTACATTCACAAATTTACCCAAGCACCCAAAGTATGTTTGCATACACTTTAGATTTTTTTACTTTTTATATATATTAAATATCAATATATTTTTACTCCCCTTTTGCATAATACAGTGCATAGATAAAATAAAATAAATCATCCAAAAGTAAGGATCAACACAACTTGAAAAACTAAGAGATGCATCCTATGGAGAAGCAAAGTGTGACATCATCAAATTGCAAATTATGCAATTCAGTTTTGAAATGTTCATAGTTGAAGAGAACACGAAATTGTCTATCAGTTTCTTAAGATATGACATCAAAATCCTAAAGGTCTAAAAAATTATTTTGTGTCATTATGGCTAACTCTGCTACTCTTTATTTACTTATCCCCTTACAAGGACACTGCAATTTTTAGCAGTCAACTACATGACAAAATTTCTATCTTTTTGGTATCACAAGGTCAATGTTGTTACAGACTCCCTAATTCTCTGGGCCTTCAAAGATTTCTTATCCTTTCTCCATGGCTTGACATGTAGGAAGTAAATCAAAGATGCACTTCCCCTGGAAATACCCCCTAGATGCAACAGTGACATACGGACTTCCCCTTTGCATTACAAGTTACACCATTAAGAAAGATAAGCTAAGCTTCAGACAATGCTGAAAACTAGGTTTCAGTCTCAGGATATCCGTCAAAATTACTTTTGAATGATCTAGTGTTACACATTTTTAATTTACTGACAAAAAATAGGTAAGAACAAAAGAAAAGAATATTTATTGTTATTTTGTTATTCTTTGAGTGTTGTTCCTGCCAGCAAGTTCAAGCCTATGATTGTTTTTTCCTAGTGACCTCTTCTTCTCCATGTGCAAGACATCAAAAAATTTCAAACCTCACAGGGATACTAGTAAGTCAGACTAATGCTGCCCTAAATAAGAGCTATTCATAAGCCAATTAATGTATGAACTTAAATATTGTGGTTAAGTTTCAACTTTGAAGCTGCAGGAGCACAAGACTGCATGCAGAAATTAACGTAGTAGTAATAGAAAATAAACTTAGCGATGTAACTGGGAAAATTAATCTTAAGCAATACAGTAGGTAAAAGACTTATGGCATGCCTTAACTAATGGATTGCGTAGACCCCTTACTGCATATCTGCAGTCCAGGTCAATATGTAGGACAAAAGATGGAATCTAACTCTCTTAAACAATATAGTTCATTGCTGTGCCTCAATATTGAGCTAAACTGGATTCACTCAAAAGGGTCTATACATGTTGAAAATTAGGATACAAAGCTAGTACAAGTACATGCCAAGAGTGACGTGCAATGCCATACATATTGCAAAAAATATCAGTGATTTATATCTGTTCAATATATTGCATATATGCAGCAAACATTCACGGGCTTTTCTAGCTTTAGGTTTCCCTTTACCCAAATTTATGACAATGTGTATTTTAGTAGGAGTTTTAATGGTAGTAATTGTATCAACACTCTATAATCCCATATAAGCAACTATTTTATTATTTTCAAATTCTCTTTCCAATTAAAGATTAATTTGGATCGTTGCCATTTGCATTCTTTAGAGGGCAAACTATGACTTATGGAATCAGTCTAACATAGTTTGGGATGGTATAATTAATCTACAATGGGACTACATGTCTTTGCAAATAATTGAATTCAAAAAACTCCTCTGACTGCCAAATTGGACCTCGGCCTTTTCCAATTTTGTCAGTTCCTCAGAATTTTTTTCATTCAATTATTTCCAAATTGGAAAGCATGCAGTCATATTACCTATACTAATTTGTAATAGTATACATCTCTGCATAAAATTGGGTCATACCGTTCCAAACTTTCCAAAGTAATTTTTCATGTCTTCTTCTGATGTGTTTGTTGATAACCCCCCAACAAATATCTTCTTTGTTGATGTAACCATCTGGGAAAGAATTCAAATCTTGTGTTAATATTAGGTCAGCTTTTGGACCTATTTTTAATGTTGGCCGATAACATTCTGCTGTAATGATTGATATCAGACACCTTTGCCTCACAGGCTTAGCCTCAAAATTCATTTTTTTACAAAAGGTAGGACAGAAAAATTCATTTTCTCTGAATTGGGTCTAACCTATTTAACAGGAACTCAACATTTTAAAAGTTGCATTGTTTAAGAATATAAGCCTATGGTTTCTTCTTTAGGTGTCTTCCTTCTGGATATATATACATTCAATTATAAAATCTGTAATCACTATTTCTTTTATTACATATTTGTACAATTATTGTTAATAGAATTTTGAATACTTGTTACTATATTTCCAGAAAGGTAGATTGAATAAACTGATTGATTGATTGTTTGGTAATGTCTGAAGAGCAGATATAACTGGGTACTGGAAAAGGACTGTATAAAACACACACTAATAGACTCTTTTCACTTGGGCAAATATTTTCCCATTTTATACCATCTATCATTCTCTTGGACCAAAATTCTTTGTCTGAGTTGTATCCATATACGTTTGCCTTTTGATGTGCAATGGTTAAACAATGAAAGGAAACTAATTAGGGAATGACACATGGTTTGAAATGGGAAAACATTAGGCCCAAGCTGAAAGGTTCCATTTAAGGGTGTAGGGAAAAAACTCACATGGCAAGGGAGAGAATACAAAAAAAAAAAAAATAAAAAACTCACATGGCAAGGGAGAGAATACAAAAAAATACTATTAACATATGCATTTGCAAAAATCAAACCAACAACAGTTATCTATCAAGAAAATAAGTTACTTTTTATCCTTTTAGTAACATGATGCAATAAAGTCAAGTCATAAACAAATTAAGAGCTGAAGCCAACAGGACATTGTTGGAATTACAGGAAATTCTGGATACGTCACATAACTTCCTTAAAGAGTTCAAATTCATGGACTAGGAAGAATCAAAAATAGAATAAACAAATTACCAGGATTTTTAAGGATTATTTATCTGATTTATAGTTTCTTGAGGTTATTGTGAAATCAAAAAAATATGTTGTAGGTAATGAACAAACATCTTGTATATTTAGAGTCCTGTCGTAATATTTGTCAATCATTAAATGAAATAAATGTTACCTCTAAATTACTGAACAAATTCTTTACAATATGTGAAGGATACTAATTCCAGATATTATCCTATTCGTTGTGCTACAAAATCCAAAAAAAAATCACCATGAAGGCAGAGTTCTAGACAATCCTAGTAGATATTATCCACCCGTTTGTAGTGGAAATGACTACAGCCCCATGAGATGACTATTAACCTTTGGTGCTATATTTCACAAGACATGGCGATAATCACGTGCGAAAGGTGAATATGGCTGTCACTTTTTTGGAACTTGAGCAATAATTGATAGAAATGATTGAGCAAACTCAAGATGTATGAAACATGCCACGTCACACAAGGCATAAGGTAGGAAAGAGTCAGTTATTACAACAACGTTTAGTTAAATGTGTGGTATATTTAGTGTATACCACAAAATGTATACAGAAATATTCAATTTAAAATCTTCTGAATCATGTTGCAGCTGAATATTTATAAAAATGTGAGATGTTATGGCTTTTGGTTTGGTTTATATTTTGAAAGGGGCATGCCAGACATTTTATAATAGTTCAATCAACCCTTGTGTTATCTGACAAGATAAGAAGTACTCTAGTCTAAAGATCAGGCATCTCTAAGTCAAGGTCAGTCACACTACAAGAGTTTCTACAGTGTCTTAAAGCTGTTCTTGCACAATATGAAAATCACATTTTGGTTGAAAGTCCTAATTATTGTAATTAATAAGCTTATAATAATTATTAATGGGTTATTGAAATACATAATTACTTAATGCCTATTTTACACAATCTACCCCCACAACCACCAAACTATGTATTCTGTGCATGCCTAATAGTGAATATCTTGATAATCTTTTAATACCAATAATTATTAATGGCCTATTTAAATATATGAATACTTGATGCCCATACTACACAGTCTACCCCCATCACAACTAGGATCTGTATTCTGTTCTTGTCTAATAGGATAGCACATTTCTGGTGATTATCTTAATAGTTGATAATATTTGAATAATTATAATAGCTTATTAAAAGACAAGATATACTTGATAATAATTATAATAGCTTATTAAAAGCAAGATATACTTGATGCCCATTCTACTCAGTCTACCACCATGTCACCAATGCTCAACTCCCCCCCCCCCCCCCCCCCCCCCCCCATTTTTGACACGTCACAAAGGTAATGCAGTGCAAATGAATTTAAATGGAGAGAGTTAAAAGTCATCCAAAAATATTGTCTAAAGTAGCAACCATATTAATTATAAACACTATATCCAAGTAACTTGTTACTATGCTTCATTTATCCATGAGTTAAAATGATGCATCACAAAAATACTGATATAAAATTATTAATAGAGACCATTAGTTCTGTACACCTAAAGTAGACTTCCATTAGCATGGTCTAAGTACATCTTGAATTACTAACTCTGTGCTCTCATTATAAATACAGCTACCCAAGCTTAGTATAGACTAACAACAAATGCCCCCATTTTATTAAAGATACTTTATCAAAGCAAGCCAAAGTCCAAAGAAATGGCATATGCTATGTGTATGGCAGCTAGACTGACTCAATGTTGACAGCTCAAAAGAGCTTCTGATACATATGAAGGAAATTAATGACCTGTGAGATCAAGAACATCACAAAGATAAAGAGCTGACGACAGGACAGGAATTGTATGTAGCATTGTAAATAAATTTCAATGATACAGAAATGGGACTTCCTTGTTAATACCCTAAATCTTGCATATCAATCAACAACAGAAATAAACTGTTGACATAAAATAATACATTCATTTTGATAAACTAATTGTGGCTTTGTTTTTAATATAATAAGGCATAAATAACCAATCAATAGGTTTGTTTGAAGTAAATCATTGTGTTGAAAATAAAATAATAAAGGTCAAAAGAGATAGGCTGTGTGCACATACTTTATTCTTGATTCTTCAAATCACTTACCCTGGGTTTCAAAGGGATTTTCCCCACAGATTTACTGAAAGCAGCAAAGCTGTAAGAGGTTTTTTGTTTTCATCCTCTCACTGTTTTGCTGCTTACCTTCATGGCTTTGCCGCTTTCAGTAAATCAAGAGAAAAAATTCCAGTGGAACCCAGGGTACAAAATTACTTGAATGAATTTTAAATAAGATTCCTATCAGATACTTATAAATATACTCACAACTTTAAATTTTGCTGACAGCAATGTTACACAGTTACATGAATAAAAAAGTAGATCTGGTTTGACACAATAACATCATTACTGGTTATTAATGCTGCCATGATGGTTGCATGAATTGAACTATATATTTATAGTTAGGCATTATCAACCAATATGTTATTAGACAAAGTGCATTATATTCTCAAAAGTATGTATAATTTGTAAAATTTACAAATTTTGAAGTACAATTAAAATGATGAAATATAGAATAACTTGGTCAATACCATCTCTATCAGTTACTAGCACAAAGAAAAACTGATAACAATGAGGATATAGCTTGGTCCTAACAAGTCCTTCATTAACTTAATAAACGAGCCATTGTCATTAAACTTTATATTGAGGAAAGAGACACAGATTATGGTACACTGCTTTTTAAAGCTGTTAAGACAATATTTAGCTTTAACCTCAAAACCAAGCATATGTAAAGGAAATTTGAAAATATGCTGGCAGCTGAAAATGTAAACATCAACAGGTACAAAGTATGAGGATTGTTTAATATATGAATTAATTCTGGATGGGGAAAAAGTGGAACTTGAACGGGCAGAAAAAATTTCAATAAATTTTTTCCTATCTTTTTGCATAACAGCAACCTCAGGATAGAGAATGCTAAAAGTGAGCGACTTTGAACTCTACAAAATGCAAGTCAAAAGAACACGTCTTTTCAGTTTCRACTCAAGGATTCATGGGTTTTGTTCATTATCCAATATCTATCTGATCTGGAGAAAAATTTTGCAGACAAATTCATAAAAGTATGAGTGATTTAATTATTCTTTTGGTACGATTCCAAAAATCTAATTTGACAGAAAGCATCCCATTTGTCACATCTAGGGTACAGCCAAAAATAAGTCTTTTGGGAACCAATTTTCATGGCTCCTGAAAAAGTAATGTCGCCTCTAGGTATTCATGGCAGTTAGAAAGACGCTTACAAAGGCATATTACAGTGTCACTATTTGACCAATCAGATCTCAGAAATGACTCAACTCTAAGTTTAGCTTCACTATAGGGGTCTTGATGTCAGGTCAAAGACTCAAGCAAAAGAATTACCAAACAATAGAAACTTAAGCACTGAACAGATCAGAAAATGTCTGAGAAAACAAGCGATCATCTTGCAGAAAGAAATTCTTGAGCAAAATTTTAGAGTAAAAGAAAATCATTCATTTAACTAAAGATAATAATTTGAAGTATGAAAAGTATTAAATTCATGGTAAAGGTTAATATTTTAAATTAATTTCTTTAACAAAAGGCTATCATATCTTCATAACTAAAAAAAATACTAATCCACATATTGAAATTACTTTAGACTTACATTATGGACCAAGGTAAGAGACATTATAGAACTTCATTATATATAATATTACTAATAACATATTACATGTACAATTATTTGGGTTGTAACTAGCTATGATGGAACATGTGAGTTAGAGGAAAATGAAAATATGATACAAAACATTAAATATTATGTTAGCATATACTGGTACTTTCCAACACTTTTTAGGGAATGCAGGAAGCATTTAAGAACTTATTCAGGAAATAGGTATTTAAGTGTATTTACAATCCAGTCACCAAGGTGTCAAAAAGACTCCCGACCGGGCCGAAGAAATATTAACACATTTTAGTAATGGGTTAGTATTGTAATAAGTACCGTACTCAAGAAGGATTATAGATTCCTTAACTGGGATCAATATGAAATGAGGTAGTCCCACTATGAAGAGAAACTCTGCTTTAATTTAATGTAACTCTTAGGCGAATATAAACGATATTAAGCAAGAACAAATATAAGGTATTAGGGGTCTAGTAGGCGAAAGTAGGCGGTAAATGAATTTTCCAAGGTCTCGCCACAAACCAACGACGATATCCTTAACAAACTTTAATTACAATTTATCAAGTTTTTCTTGCTTGATGGAAGTTAGTACTAGCTTTATAGTTATTGTGTCTTGTATCCACATGACGTACTTGGCCGTGTTAGAGCGGCGAGTACTGATCTTATTCAGACTCGGAATAAATTCAAAACTCCGCCATTCAAAATGTTTGTATGCCGACTGGTTACTGCACTTTGTTTTGAAAAAATAAAGCCAATCATTTGCGAAACAATAGAATAACAAACTAACGAAATATGAAAAAATACCTAAACCCCGGTCCAGGATTCGGACGATACAAAATTCTGGCGGTAAAGATCGGTTTCCCGGTAACGTGCGGAGTGTTGGATTTCGCTTTCATTGAACTTCCTTTCCGATAACCAAATGCAAATCACTGTAAAAATCCACACAACAGGTACGACAAAGCATCACCCGTTCTTTTGTTCTATTTTATTCACCACGAATTTCGAGGGCTCTAATCAACCAATTTAGTCCAGAATAAGGACAGAGCACACATAGATCAAGTCTATTATCTGAGGTCTTTACGGCGAATAATCGACTAGAGCCCGTCGGCGTGCAAAGCGCATTCGCGTGCTTCGATTAGCGGAGTTTCCATAACACTTCTTACAACCGACACGAGATCAAACTGTAATCGAGCTATACTAGCACATTCTCGATTGCTTCATTGCCTTAGTCGAATCAGGACGAGTTTGTTTATTTGCGAGTGGGCGTCGCAAAAGAAACAATGAAAAGTTCTGAGCAAGCCGGCCGCAATTTATGTATGCAGCGGCTTGCTATAGTTCAGTCGAATCAGCTTCGCTTGCCTTTGTCCAACCGCTCAAATAAATCCTTTGGTACCCCAGTTAGCCTCCACACAAGACATTCCCAGACACTAGCAAAGCCCAACACAAAAGCCTATCTTAGTCTTATCACGACTTGAGAATAGAAATCCATATCAGACTCCAAACAATCGGTTATGGTAATGTGTTCATCGCGAGACCAACGGAAACGTGGACGAATCCGTACGTCTAGAGTCTTGCTGCTAAGCTTCGCAGCATCGCCAGAAACCTTAAAAGCACAGGGTTGATGGCTGAGCATTCATAACATTTGCATGCTAGCACTTCCTTGGCTTCCCAGCGCAAGGAAATATATTTGCAACACTATTACAGACAACCCTGTGCTACCACAGCTGGTTTCTGCCGTCTGACTCGCAATGAAATAAACATACTTCCTTGAAAACAATTATTTCGTGTTAGCAGAAAAAATCTTTTTTGCAATGTAAGAATGAAATCGAGAAATGTCCCCTTACCTTTGCTGGAGCTCGCTTGGGTACGGCGACTTTAGGATCAATCTGCATGTAAATTCAAGAAAGTAAAAATGCTATTAGTGGCAATACGAGGTCACACAAACCCCGGTCAAATCGACAAACTCTCGCTGAAGCCTTCGTTTCTTTGATTACCATACACAATGAAAACACAAACCAAAGCTTCTTTCGATTTGGCAGGATTTCTAAGAGCTAGTAGAACAATAATCACGACTTCCTATGCTTGAGAGGAGATAATATGAATCCTTGTGGAGCAGGCGAGCGTGATGCGAGCGAATCAGACAAGCTCCAGACAGTCCTTTGAATTCACATCAAAGCGAACATTTCTCTTGTACCAAACACACACAAGTAAACGTCTTCTAACCTTCTTCCCATCCAAATCGTGCGGACAGCTATTAAGTACCACATCGACGCAGTTAGGCTCGATAAAAGTTACAAACCCGAACCCCCTGAGAAAAGGAAACACAAAAACATTTCATAAACCATCGCTGTCTTTGCACATTGCTTTTTTTCAGACATGCTATGTACGACAGAAGCGATTTGATAGAGTCTGAGCCAACAAGGCGTAGATTTATTCACTGTACCTTGATCGTTTTGATACAGGATCCCTCATTACAACACACTCCTTCAGTTCCCCATACTTGGCGAAATACTGGCGCAATGCCTCTGAAATCGAGAACAAAAACAAAACCGTTACTAGACGGCCTGAGTCGTTAGGAAATACAGTAGCAGGCCCGCAGGAAAGTACAAGAAATATCCTGATCAAATACATGTACAAGTTTTGGTCAATCCATGGCGTTAAAGTGAAAGTGTACGAGGTAAAAAGTCATGGGAAGTCAAACCTGCTGTGGTTTGCCAGCTTAAACCTCCAATGAACATCTTCCTGAAAAATAAATGGTCATAGAGACATTAAAGACCTGGCTCCCATGAGAGAACGGTTAGTTTTGTTTGCCCGGGGAACAAGAGGTAGGCAGTGAAATAAAATCATAGTTACAGCTGCTTCGAGCTGGACTTCTGACGATTCAGGGGCTGCTTTCACAGCTCGTTACATACCCCGGATCGTTCGAACCATCGTTCTTGGAGCTTGCGGAGGAGTTCTCCTCCATTTTGTCCTACAACTACAACTATACAAGCGATAGGCCAACGAATCCCGACACGTGGATATGATATTCGGATTGGTCGGTGCGTTCGTGTTGGGTGGTAATTTGGCGCCATTTGAAAAGGCTCCTAAGCTGTTGATTGATGTGCTTAATACTGGACGCTGATTGGTCAGGATTTTTACTTCGCGACGGTAACATTAGCCCTCAGTCACCTGACCAGTTTTTCAATGCTACCCGCCTACTCTTTTGTTTGTGACCACGCCTGGGCTTCATTCTCGTGTCTGATTGGCTCGTGGGGTTTTTGATGCACTTGAATGGTTGTCGCTCAAGAGAGCGTGACGGGTTTTCGCGTCCCATTTGAGTTGAAAATCTGTAACTGAAAAAACAACAAATTTAGAAGCAATGTAACAACCAAAATAAAGGAAAAAAAACATAAGATCTTGAAGGAATAAATTTTAAGGTTTCCTTTAATTAATGTAGCGTAAAAACAATGAATAAAGATGACAAAAAATCGAGACGAAACCAAACGTTATTGAGTTTATAACTTCTTAAGAAAACTAAAATCACGCATTTGTTAGGCACTTGAGGTCAGACAATGTCACAGTTAAGAAGTGAAAAGATAAGGAGGAACAAAGTAAAGTAGAAGCTTTGTTTTAAACTCATCTTTATGATTCAATTACTAAGAATCACAGAGGTGTATTCTCAATGTGATCGTCCAACCAAGAAAATAATTTACAATTCTTAGAAGCCGCGAAAAGAAAGATTACAGATCCCAAAATAGAATAAAAACCTTGTTTTCTTTGGAAAACAAAATTATCTATTCAGGTAACGTGGCGAAGAATAACATCTACCAGAAATCTAAAAGATCAACCAGTAATGTTTTGATTCTTTGGCCTTCAACGGGTGCTATTGTAGACAGAATCTGGAGTACAGCACCTGTGTAGGGTTGATAAAAATGAGTTGAACTAAAAAATGCTTCCAGACAATAAGATTAGTCTACTTTCTAATGATTTTTGTGTTTGCTTGGACTATTCATAAAATTTGAGGGTTTTTTTTAGTAAAGACAAACTTTCGTTGAAGGTGAGCTAAATCATTGGCTTGCTGTGTTAGTATGTGATTTTTTTCCATACAAATAAAATATATAAAGTGATGTAAGTAGTGGCAGATTAAAAATAATTTTTAGATCCTTAACACCTGCTTTCATTAAAAATATTTTATTTTAAAATGGGCTATGTTAAAATTAGAGCACTGAGATGTAAAAATACAAAGATAGAGTTGTTTTTTTGACAAGCGAGTTGATTAAAACTACAAATAAAAGTTAACACTTAAGTGGTATTCCAATTGCCACTCTAATGGTATCCCACTTGCCACTCAAATGGTATCCTATTCTTTCATGAAACTGCGAGTTTTGCTGTTCCTCTTCCTTTCTTAAATCAGGTATGGTTCCACAAGCCAATGAAAGCCTTTCAAAGCACAAAGAGGACCAAGAACTTCAAAATATCACGGCTTAAATATTATACATGTATTGAGTTTTCATTTAAAAATGCCTTGAAAGAAGCAACGCCTTGAAAGAGGCAACATAACCTCGCACCGGCTACTTTCTTTTTCCACTTTGAAAAGACGGATGCGAATCAGAATACCTCCATACTCCTAATGAAATAACTAGATATTAAAGGCATCAAAACATTCCACCTATTTGGGAAAGAAGATCCGTAAACAAGAAAAAATACTTGAGAATATTTTTTTCGGAAATGCGAATGTAAGATTTTGCACATGCGCAATAGAAACGCAGTAAGGTAGTTAGTTGTATTCTCCCTATCCTCGACATACAGAAACCCAAAATAATTTGAAATTTTTCATATCTTATCATGGATTTCTGGATGGCTGCATTGATATAGTTGCCTTGATACCGCTCTGACAACTTCAGTTCTCATTCGATTGTTGCGCGGAAGAAAAACGACAAGGAAATTTTCCAAGGCAACTTGGACGTCTACGGGAAACGATCAAGTGAATATTCAGACGGATGTTGGATGACCAGGAAATAAGAATAAAAAAAGGAGGAACTGAATGGATGAATGAAGAGGGCAAGGCACAGGAGCACGAGTCCGTGAATGAAGGAAGAGGGAGACATAGAAGGGAGGGAATAAGTAAGGATGGATGGAATCGAAGGAAGCAAGGGAGGAAGAAGGGACGAAGAATAGGCCATACAATACACGCATGCGCACAATCATTAATATGTAGGCACCTTATCAAGCATTCGAATGTACGTCTTAGCTGAATTATGTTGGATAAGAGTTTATTTGAATCCAAATTTTATTCTACTTTTACAGGTAAACTGGTATCAGATTGATAAAACATTTTGATCGCCGGCAAAAAAAGGTGAGTATTTTTTTTCTAGAGATGATTAAAGCTCAGCTCTGTCCTATTAGCAGACCACATGTGGCCAACTCATAAAATCGTAGAAGTTAATAAGGTAACAATATTTTCCAGCAATTCAACTTATGAAAAATAAATTGCAGATAGAATCTCATTTCTGGTACACGTTTTTTACCCTTTAAATTATCATTATCCAAAATATATATTCAAAGACGTTTAGTCCTAGACTGGCTCGTCTGACGGCTTTTCCTAGGACAAGCAAATATGTCTCAACTACCTATCCAGAAATATAGTCATTAAAAACCAGGGACGAGCACGACAGATCTAAGGGGGGAAGGGGAGGGATGGGCTGAGCCCCCAAGTAGACCATCTTGATGTTATCGAATCCCCAAAGATTAGGACAAACCTCCTATGCTAGAAATATTTTCCTGTTTCCCCCCAATATAGTTTGGTTCGCCAAAGTACACTTCTTTTATTGTCACGGTCCAGTTCGCCAGTTCAAACCCCCTAGTGAAAAGCCTCAAATCTTCGTGATACTAGAAGGCCAATTCAGTGTCAAAACGGCTCGACGTTTTACATAATGCCTGAAAACTATGAAAAAGCATTAAAAACTCATACCAAAAACCCTTTAAGTGCAGGGCTCCGTAACGATCGATGGTTATAATTAAATCTTATAATACAGAACACAGATAGAATACAGAATACAGTTCAGTGTCAGCATTTTACATAATGCCTGAAAACTATGAAAAAGCTTTAAAAAAATCATACCAAAAACCCTTTAAGTGCAGGGCTCTGTAGCGATCGATGGTTATAATTAAATCTTCACACTAGAGGCCAGTCAGTGTCAGCATCAGTCTTGAAATGCATTTTCGATCAATGGCACGAACACTATGGAGACGCTCCAAAAACTCATCCAATAAACCGTTTAAGTGCAGGACTTTGACAAGGGCTTTGATTAAATCCTCAATGGATTTTGTATATGTCAGCTTTCCATTGTGGACTGTTGGTTTAGTTTTCAAGTAATGTCAAGCCCTAGACCAGCATTTCACTTCCATGTCAGGGACTAACTTGAATCAATCAACCAGGTTTTCATTAAACAGCACAGAGTCATTAGACACTAGTCCTCAAGTGACAGCCAACTAGCTTTTGTTTGTTTGCCTCTGACTGGTATTCAGTGAAATGTGATTGCTAAATGTCAAGCTTCCCGACGACGCACTACGTTCGACCAATTATCTGTGGGGTTATAATAGTATCCTGTATTTTTACGTTTGAAATTGGTAGACATTTTAATTTCTGAAGCGAAAACTCTTTATTTTAGGAGAATAAGGATGGAAAGCCAGATGTCCCTTGACTAGCCGGTATTCAGTATGACGAACATGCTTCTGGTGAACACGTGTTTTGACGCAGCCCAATCAACACTGCCAAGTAAAGCATACGACTACAAGATTAGAAATGAGGATTTCGAGGTTTTTTTATTTATTTTTAGGTCTGAAGAAGAAAACCTTTACATTCTGATTCCCAGAGTAAGTAAAAATTGAAGGGAAAAAATTTGTTGAAATTTTTATTTTAGCGCGGTTCTGGAACAATGAATATTTTTTGGAAGTGGGCTGTGTCCCCACGCGTTTTCCTCTCGTTATTTACTGGCGACGAATCTTTAGTTTACTCAACTTCTCTTTCTGTCACTACTTTGGTGTCACAAAAAGTAAGGAATTCTCTGTCAAATATTTTCGTCACAAATGCCAAGAAGTGTTGACCTTTAAATGGTTTCCGCAGTGCCCTCAGGATAGTTTGGCCGCCGGAAGTGCCTCAGAAGCCAATTTCCTTAACAAGGTCAAAAATGCCAGGAAGTAGGAAAGGAAATCCTTTTATTCCATTCGATCCGTGATTCTATCGTAACTATCCAGTCATTCTTTGGTATTCAAACCGGATGTCGTTCTGTACACTTTTAATAAATTAAAATTTACATCGACTGATGTAGCATCGAATTTGCTTTTCCCTTTCGGTGCAGCCACTGCGATTTTGCGTTTTTGTTTTTTGATCGTTACTCAACAGTTTCAAACTTTTTTACACTGTGTACGAGCTTCTTTCTTACTCACTTTGTTGAAAATAAAACTTGTTGTACGGAAATCTTAAATGACTCAATAATAGTAATTGGCATTACCTATTGCGGCTTCTCTGCCTCGGAACATGTATCTATATTTGTATCATTTTTTCCCCTTCGTACTTTGAACTGGAGGCAAAGTTAGATTTAACAAATTTACGATGGTTGAGCGTGGTATGTCCTCTTATTTACCACGATATGACGTCAAAAGTTGGTCAAAATGTTATGGACTCACGAGGCGTAAGCCGAGTGGGTCCATAACTAATTTTGACCAACGTTTGGCGTCATATCGTGGTAAATAAGAGGACATACCACGCTAAACCATCATAAATTTGTTTTTTACTACAAAACTCACAAAACTCTAGGAAATAGACTGCACGAAATCTTGCATGACGCCATTTGTTGGTATGGCCTCTTATTTACGACGTTTTTTAACCAATCAGCGCGCGAGAAAATTTACAATTGTGGTAAAAAAATAAATACATGAAAATAATAATTGGCTTTAATCATTGCAAAATTTAGTCTCCTTTGCAGCCGTCATTAAAACTAATGACTATGTAACTGCTAGGTTTTCTTCCTTTTTGATACTCTATTTTTGATTGGTTAAGTTGGTTTGCTCGTTGTACTTTTGAAGCTCTTATAAGGCTTCCCAACACATTCAAATCCACGTGATTGGTTTGGGAGTTTTTACAGTATTTGATTTCAAATAAAACAGCTTTTTCCGTGCTCCGTTCAGTAATAAAGCACGCAGGAAGTGGCGTAAGCATTCAAGATGTGTTAGGAGAAAAACGAGCCGTAGGCGAGTGCTTCTCACACTTCTTGAATACGCAAAAAGAAAGAAGATCGCAGGATCTAGCAGAACCTTGCGCGCGCGGATGGCGTCAGCACTGTGATCCGTTAACTAATAAAGCACAGTTTTCGACCAATCAGCGCGCGCGTACTATCCTAACTATATAATAAAATAAAATATGCTCCAATTCTTTATTCGGGTGGCTTATGTTTGAAACCTCTAAGTAAGAGATATAAAAAGAAGGTAACAAGGATGGTACTTGAATTTTTCAATTTCAAAAAATGCTTCTTTACTGCTTGAGTGAAATTGTGCACACATAGAAACACGAATGACAAAAAAAGGAAAATCGTAGCAGGAGTTCTTTTCGTGAGCAAGAACTACCCAAGTAACGATTAAAAAAAAGCATTTCCTTCTATTGAATAGGTCTCTTTAACCAATTCCCAGTTCAAAAAATTAGTGTGGTGAGAATAACCAATAATTATTTGCTCTGCACACTAGAGAAGACTCTTTGTTATACAAAAATGTATTGTCTCGTTCTATAAACAGAGGTGTATAAGGAGCTACTGCAGGGGGTCTGGTGACATTTCTGGTCTCGTGCACAATTTATTACTGTTAAAATCTTGGTTTTCAGCAGGAAACATCAAGGATCTACTAAGCAACACTAGTTGAAATGATAAGCAATAACTTTACATCATTTTGGCTTCAGGGAATGAGTTTTTTTACATCCACTGATTGGTAAAAGGTGTATAAGAGGRAAAGTATAGTCAAGCATGTGAAAGATACCACAGCATGTTACAGACATGCCCCAACATCACCGTCAAAACAATATTCAGTGGACCTTATTACTGTTTACCAATCTTAGACCATGTGCTGTTCCCTTGAGAATAAGATTCTTTGTCTGAGTCTCATGCACATCTATATATCTTATCACCAATTACTAGAGAACAAAATATCATACTCAAGGGGAGTAACTTGTGCTCTGACACAGGAAAAGAGAACTGATGTATTCATTGACTAGACTACAATATAAGAGAACAAACAGAGAGAACCAAAACTCCATAGCTTGTTCACAAGACAATTTTAGCATTTCATGGAATTCGTACCAATAATGCAAGCTAGGTTTCAAGTAAAAATCGCTTGGTTGGTAAAGCATGCCAAGAATTGCTAACCTACGGCTGTTACGTTTATTAGCAGCAGGCTTGTAAAGTATCGATGTAAAAGGAATGGCTTATAGAATATACAGTTCTCAAGATGATGATGATGAAACTTTTACCATCAGCTAATGGTAAACAGCTGCATGTTGTACAAGTCTGGTCATAAAGATTGAAATGTAATATTATCTGCACAGTGCAAGACTGTAGATTAATCACTAGAGCACAATTCAAGGCCTGGAGGTCAGGAGGACTCAAGGTATTCTGCCCAGTGTACCAGTTCAATTGTATTGATTTCTTTTCAGAGAGACCCTATCTGTTATGTAGTTAGGATAAACATGTCTACTGCCAAATTGCTTTGGATAATATAAATTATAAAATAACTGTTATGAATGTCGCGTTCTGATTGGTTTGGAGCGTGTGCTTTATGAGAGCACATTGCACGCGCTCGCACTTTCCGTTGCATCATTCCTATCTATTATTGTAATTTGTATTTTATAAAAGAAATAAAAAACTTGCTTGCTGTGCTGTGTACTTGGGGGTTGGCAGAACACTCGAGAAGTGTCGAGAAGCACTCCGCTACGCGTCATGCTTCTCCTAACACTTCTCTCGTGTTCTGCCAACCCCTGCGTGCCTTTATGACAGCACACAGCACGCGTGCGCGTTTTCTATTTCTTCAGGATTTACTGCCCACACTATCCTATAAAAGAAGAGAAGTGATATTATCGTTTTTTCCCATTTGTCACGTTTCCATCCTTAGGGCATTTCTTTCTGGGTATGGTCAGGAATCTTGTGTCCAGCTGCCGCATAAAGTCCAGTGTGTTTATCATCATTCTTCTGTCCTGTTGGGTGCCTATACCCAACATGGATACAATACTAGTCCATAATGTTCTAATAAAATGTCATAATATGCTACAGAAGCTTTTATGACAGATAGCTTCTGGACGACTTTCAGTAGATGATTACAACAAGGAAGATAAGTAAAATGGTAATCCAAGCCTTCCAGGAAGAAAATATATACCATATAAGCTGCTATGACAGGTAACTTCTGAACCATTTTTAGTAGATGCTTCCAACAAGTAAAATAGGTAAAATGGCAATCCAAATTTCCAGGAAAAAAAGTGATATGCTACATAAGCTGCTATGACAGAAAACTTCTGAACCACTTCCAGTCCATGATTCCAACGAGTAAAATAGGTAAAATGGCAATCCAAATTTCACTATCTGAAAAGTAGCTTCTATTTTGAAATTGTCCATACTGTAATTTCAAAATGGCTATTCCCACGCTCACATCCATGAAAAATTTAGGCACCTGGGCACCCTAACATCAATTTCAAGTTCCAACATTGTAACATCAGTTTGTTAAAAAAAACAAAAAGACATGTTCTAAACTTGCCGTAATAATCTCAATAGATTGTAGTAGGTCTCTATTACAAGCAAGAGCATACATATTACACTATGTAAAACAAGCCATGAGATCTCTACTGACCTTCTTGCACTCTCACTGATAATAGAATGTGGTGCATCTTTAAGTTTGAAAGTCTTTTCCTCCAATAATTTCCAAATCGTTGCAATACATATTCAAGATTCTAAAGTTTTGAAAATTCGTAGGAATAGATGTCAAGAAGTCTCGTTTTAGGGGTTCCATTTACATGTTCTCTCATCTTATTGGTCATCGATTTTCATTTTTGCTTAACATCCTGGTACAAATTATATGTATTTGAAAGGGTGTCAAGGCATGCTTATGGGGGGAAAAACCTAGCTATTCAAGTGCAGTTTAAATTGTGATCAAATTGTGAGTTTTTCAGAGCCTTAAGCCACCAAGCAATGCAACATATTTTGAACATGATAGCAACCTTAGCTTGATACTTCTCCATGTGCTSACAAGACAATGCATCCATGCACATTGTATACAAGGTATCTGAATCCCTTAGACCTAAATTGCACTTGATCTTTGCATTACACTTCCAGCTAGATTCGTAAACTAGAGATAGATAATATTCCATTGCGAAATCACTATCTAAGAACCAAATAGTTTAATTTGGTTTAACATCAGCTAAATGTTTCTCAAAGATTTGCCAAATTCTGATCGTATTAAGAGGAACACTCCAACGGACAGTCTACATGGAAGGATTCCAAGAGCTAACAACTGATCGGAATTCGCAGTCCAGACAGGCAATCTACAGTTATTAAAGTACTAGCTAAAAACTTAAAGAAGAATAGAAAAGAGCTCTTCTAGGTTTTCGAAGGAACACACCTTCGAGTGACGTTCAACTTTACCTATGCTTTACTACAAGAACAACTTACAGAAGCACAGGTTGCTGAATAACTTTCCATCCAAATAAGCTAACAAAATGAGCAGCATTTAGTATAAACAGAGGCCCAACAAATTCGTTTTTTTTTAATTTATAAAGTAAGCTCATCTCAATCTCGAATTTCGCTGGTTCTGGTTTACGTATTAACCGAAGTGTAAGCTTACATAACGTATCATAAAACATGAAAAAAAGACACAAAACTTACCTGACTTATTTGTTTCTTGTCAAAGAAAGAGTCATCTTTCCATACAGGACATTTTACGACGCTTTAAAGATGAGAAAAWATATTTTTTGAAGGAAAAACTACAGCACCTGACAGAACCCCGAACGACAGTCACCCTGAACCCAGTTCGCTGACCACGCGCGACCTCCGTGACCTGCGCATTTGGATTTTGGCGCCAATTTGATACAGAGCATCATGGGTACTGGAAGTGGCACCTGTTCTTACCACAAGCATTATGGATGGAAAAATAAAATGAAATAAGATGGGGGGGAAAAATGAAAACGAAACTCATTCAAACAAAGATTCAATAGTGCTCATAAGTTTTCTTAATTATTCGTATTTTTGTATCAGTAAGGCGAAAAGTTTGGGGCCTCGTCATCTAGCCTTTCTGAAAACTTTTGGTTGGGAAGCACTTTGATATCATCAAAAGCCACATTTTTTTTCAATCTTGGGGTAGCAGTAATCCCTTTGCGACTAAAATGGTTCTCTCAGAGTATGGTTCTTTCGGAGTTCATGGTATGGGATTCCTTTGTATAGGCCAATGTGACCCAACCTCACATGTTTGGTTGGAGTTAATAGTATTGTACGGGACAAAAGTTCTGATTCTCCCGGAGTCGCATCGCTTTAAAACTAAAGATGGTGTTCAAATCACCGGTATTGCTGGTAAAACGCTTAATAGTCGCTGTATGTGTCCTCAGTGTAGTGTGCATTGCTCTGGCAATAGCACTCTGTGTTGTTCTGGCCACTTCCAGAAGTAAAGCGTCTCTTGAGGAGACTCAAGATTGTGCAACAACAAGCATGGTACAAAGCCAGCCATCCGTGAAACCAAACGGGCTTTCGAATRCTTTTGATGACTTGAGCGTGGACGAAATCCTTGCAGTGAGGGACTACATACTAAAAGAACCATCCCTCAATGTGACTCCGATTGAAAAGGCTTCGATTTCTAGTAACTACATYTATCTTATAGAGCTACAAGTTCCACCAAAAGACGAGGTTCTCAATTACCTAGATAATGGAGGTCAAATGCCAATAAGGAAAGCCAAGGTAATTTTACACAGAGGAGGACTAAACATTCCTGTTGTCGAAGAGTACATCGTCGAACCTGCAGATAAACCAGTAAAACATTCCAGGCTAGGACACAGTATTCCCTTCCACAAAAGAATTTTTGATAGCGTCCAGTTAGAAGGAGTTATAGAGAAGCTTGTACTGAACTTAACCAGACAGGCTTACAGGCTTCTTAAAGAGAGTTATGATGGCTTCACTTATCATAACTGTACCGAACGATGCCTTATTTGGAGTCATAGCCAGCCAGGCGTGCTTGAGAGCGGGCAGCACAAGACGTGGATATGGTTTGTTCGCGATGTACAAGGTATGTATGTCCAGCCAGTAGGCTTCGAGGTGCTGTTCGACTGCCCAGGCACAGACGCTTCTCTATGGAAAATTGAGATGATTTATTACAATAACATGACGTTTAACAGCGTCGATCAGCTTATGGATGCATACGACCGAGGGACAGTCCAAAAGATCTTCTACCCTATGCCACAGAAAGATGAGGCCCTTTTTTCCACATATCAACGCAGGGGGGACCCGCAACCAGCCAAACCCACCCGGGGACCACGTCAATTTGAGCCAGATGGTAAACGATACTCCGTTCAAGACCGTCACGTTGAATGGATGGGATGGAGCTTTGATTTCCGTTCTCGATCAACAACTGGAATTCAAATATTTAACCTTAAATTTCAAGGAACGCGGATCGTTTATGAGCTAAGTCTTCAAGAAGCATCGGCCTTCTATTCTGGCTACTCGCCCATGCAAATGTTCACAGACTATCTCGATTCATCCTGGGCTATGGGATCTAGTGTGTTTGAGCTCGTGCGCGGAGTGGACTGCCCAGAATCAGCTACCTTCATTGACCTTGTACACCACGTGGACACTCCTCGACCACGAAGAATGAAAAACGCGGTTTGTGTCTTTGAATACAACACAGGGATCCCACTGCGAAGGCACTTTGAGAACGACTTCAAAGGTGGTTACAAGTTCTATGGCGGGATGCCAACGTACGCGCTGGTCCTGCGCTATGTGTCAACTCCATACAACTATGACTACGTCAACGACTACATTTTCTACGCCAATGGGGTGGTAGAAGTACGGGTGTCTACTTCTGGATACATTCAGGCAACGTATTGGACATCCCAAGAAAACCCTTATGGGGATGAAGTACACAAGAATGTCGCAGGCTCGGTTCACGATCATATGCTGAACTACAAGGTGGATTTGGATGTGGCAGGAAGGAAGAATTCTTACCAGACGATTGACATCGAACAAGAAATTATAGCAAACCCATGGTTTCCTGGTCGTAATCGCACTCAGAAGGTAAGCTTTTTTTTGTGCTTCAAAATATTACAGATTTCGTAGGACTGACGGTAAAGGGGCGGTAAAATAAAAAACATAATTGCGCGTAACCTTATTCTCTTTGCTGCAAAGAGTAGCAGTGAGGGCTTCTACTTCGTGCAACGAATGAAGAAATACAAAACTGAAAATGCGAGCACGTGCTTTATGTTCTCATAAGCACGCGCTCCCAACCAATCAGAACGCGACATTTATAACAGTTAGTTTATAATAAAGCTTATTGCGCGCGGGGTATGACAACGTCGGTGACATGTGAAAAGTAGCACGATGTTTTAGCCTTCGCCGTAACCGTGACGCTCCTTGAGCGCGTTTGTGGAGAACTCAGTGATTTGATCATTGATCTCGCGCTGCTTGTGATGATTGTTTCTGCGCTTGCTGTGTTGTTGTGTTTAGCGCACTGTCCATAACCGACCATAAAATATTAAGGGTAGTCTGGTCGGGATTCGAACAAAACTCAATCATCCAGAAGGAACTGGAAGGTCTGTCGAGATTGATGATGGTGGAAGTTGATGGACCGTAATAGCTGTCGACGACCATCGAGCGCAGAGATTAGTCGATCACCCACTAGATCACCCACTAGAATGGCGATCGATGACAATCTACACTTTCAACGATGATCGATCGCTTACCATTCCAACTAGGGGAATGGCGTACTTTGAAAATCTGTTGGGAGGGGTAGGGGCAGGTTCTTCCTAAACTTGGGTGTTGGAACAAATGAATGAAAATGACCCAAAATTGCATTAATGATGCGCATCTAATATCTAGGTGGTTCGCCGGCGTACCAAAAACACAGAACAAGAAGCTCTTTACAAGTACAACTTCGACCATCCTAAATATCTCAACTTCATTAGCGACAAGCTGACCAAGAATGGAATCCCACGTGGCTATCGCATTCACATCCGTGACGTCATGAAACAAATCTACCCGGAGTCCATGCCTTTTATGAATTCTGCCAAGTGGTCCTTGAACCAGATGGCAGTCACGAAATACAAGGAAAGCGAGACCTGTAGCACCAGTATTTACAACCAGATAGATCCCTACAGCCCTGAGGTGAATTTCCAAAGCTTCTACCAAGACAATGACAACATTACAAACGAGGACCTCGTTGCCTGGGTAACCGTGGGTTTAATGCACGTGCCACATACTGAGGACATTCCTAATACTGTAACAGCGGGAAACTCAGCCAGCTTTTTCCTTCGTCCGTATAATTTCTTCGAAGAGGATCCGTCGATGGGCTCAAGTGATGCTGTGCTGATCACACCAACTGATAAGGAGTTCAGTGGGATTAAAGTGGATCGGTTTGGGACGCCGCAGGGTCCATCTTGTAAGCCCAAAGACGTGCCCTTTAAGTTCACTGGGGCTTATGGTTTTGCTTGATTTAGTGGGTGTATGGTCGGATCTGGAATGAAGTTCAAGGACTCTGTAGACAGCTGCAATCTTGGTTGATTGGCTATCATGCTTTCTATTCATGTTGAGATAATCTCGTGGATCGTGACATTACCTACTTTACTCAATCTTCAGATTTTATCAATACCCTGAAAAAACCTCTGGGCTGATCAGTCAGCGCACGGCTAGCTCAGAGGTCGAATTGGAATTTTGTGTTAGGTTTTGCGGAGGGAGGAAAACGGAAGTTCCGGAGAAAACGTGCACTACCGCAACACTGACCTCCTTGATTCCCAACCAACCATCTAGTGTGTATTTTTTTCTTTAAGCAGAAATTCCAAGGAAACTAGTGCAGGTGCAACAAAAAAAAGCATGAGAATTGTGTTCATTGAAAAAACACTTTGAATTCAGGTGTAGGTTTTTGTTTTTAATTTCAATATTTTAATCTATCAAGTAAGTTACTAATGTAGTGTTGTCATCTAGAGTTGCTCCAAGTCTCGCTCGTGATTTTTTCTGTTGGCGAGTCGTCGAATTCAGATTTCGGGCACTTCCGGTTCCGACAGATTTCCGAAGGGAATGGCCAAAACCAAATGAAAAGC